AAAAAAAAAAAAAAGGGACCAGGTTTGCTGGTCTGATAGACCCTGATGGAACCACTGAGACTGTGGCCTCGAGCTGCCATTCAGGTCTGGAATTGAACCCACTCCTGTGGCTTCCAGCCAAACAAAAGACAGGCATATGAGCTGAACATTTACACTAGGTAGATACATTCCTTGGAGAGAATAATCATAGTAGAATAGAAGGGCTATGCATTCACAGGGACATAGCTCAGGGGGCAGGAGTGTGTGGAGGGATGGACACAGGGAAGCAGTAACTATGGGGAAGAAGTCAGAGGGGAGCAGTTGCATTGTGGTAAATTGTAGTCAATGTCATGAGACAAAGTGTATGTGAACTGCTGTATGGAAGTGAATTTGCTCTGTAAACTTTCACTCAAATCACAATAAAAAAAAAAAAGGTATGGACCATTTCTATGATCATTCCAGCATCTAGAACACGATCTATATACTCAATATCTATTATCTGTTGTTCAGCAACTCTAATTTTTCTGGCACAGCTCACCTGCCCACCCCTAACACACACACACACACACATACAGTTCTCATGGAAATAAGCATTCTGTACAATGTGACTTTGTACCCCTCTGATCAAAAGTAGGGCCTTTCCTTGGCAAGTATGAAACAGGAGCAGACAGAAAACAGTCTCTCAGAGTGCCTGAAATCTAACATGTAAAACTCAGTAGCTATTACAGCTATGGTCTTCCTTGGTTGAGAAGCAAAGCAAGCTGGTATGCACTGAAAAAGATTTAAGCAGAAGAACAAAGAAGAAAGCACCCAAAAGAAAACCCTTGTAGAATTTTCTAGACTATTCCAGACCCCATTTCTATAGCCAAAGTTAAGTTTCATCCTTGTCTTTGGATTTTGGAAAATACCATAGTATCTTCCCAATAAATAAGCTTGCTTTTGCTTAAGGTAGTTTGAATTTTCTGTTACCTACATCCAATGGCTTACACATGATAAACAATCAAGAAACACTTGTTGGATTGTACCCAAGAACCAATTTGTCAGGGATTATTGTTCAGCTTTGTAGCTCTGCATAGATCATAATACTTGACATATGTAAAAGTCTCAACATAGTCTGTTGAATGGCAATCAAATTAAGGCAGCTTGTAAACATGAAATAAATTATGTGACACATGATAAATTTTGGGCAAATTGTTAGGTCACAGTAGACTGTGAAAACAGGTTTTACAGAAAAAGTGGTGTTGGAAATGGGCCCTAAAGGATAAGTCAGAAATCAAGAGGAGTGTGAGCAGTGGCTGTGACTGAGAGAAAAGGCATCTTCAACCAGCTGCTCATCCCTTCCAATGATTTCTACCACAGATTCTTGTTCTGAAATGGTTTAAATGTGAAGAAACATGTGCATCAGAATTTATACATCCCAATGAATGTTGTCCCCTTCAAAGTAGAGTCCATATCCCTCTTCTAAAGAGGCTAGCACCACTCAAAGCTTTTCAGAAATTTCTTGAACTTGGAAGTAGTCACTTGAATAATTTCACTGGTATTCAAGAGAACAGCAAATTTCACTTTTTAAAAAGTCAAACAAATTTCACCTCCTCAAGAAAGGTTTTAGATTTCTCCCTTCTCCCAGCTCTTGTGTTAGTCTTTACCACTTTAGACTCCTTATCTTATTGACTAGTGGAAAGGTTTTCATATCAAACTGACCTTGGTTCCAGTCCCAGCTGTGCCACTTTGATCTTCAGCAAGTTAGTTAGCTCAAACATCCACTAGGATGAGCCTAATGTTGGGGGTTTAGGGGAGGACTAGAGACAGGTCTCTGAAGACTAGACGGGAGAAAAGCTCCTGGTCAGGGGAAATAAACATGCCTACTTTCTTCAAATCCAAAAGACAATTTAATGGGGAAAACCCACTTACCTGGACCACAATTGGCAGGCTTCTGACAGCCATATCTTCTTCTTTGATGAGTTCTCTTAGAGTAAGGCAAAGCTATGAGGAGGTAGGTCTGGAGCTTTGCAGCTGCCAGACTCCTCAGGCTAGAAACTCCTACACACCTGTGATGAGGAGAGGACAGGGTCACAGCAGTCCAGAGGGAGACTGTGCATTCACATTCTGAGAGCCGTCCAGTACACCAAAGCAATGAATTCTTTATTTCCAATTCTCTCTCCTCCACTCCTTCCCTGTGTAAAGTGAATCGCTCACCATCCTGCTACTATTTTACCTCACATATCTCCCCTAGCATCTAAGTCAAACCCTAATTGCCCCTTCTCCATCTTACATAAAATGATCTTTTGCAGAAAGCCTGCTTAAATCCCCGGGCCCCGGCTTTCAACCTACCCTCTTGCCCTTACCCTGAAATTATGGTAAGAGGTCTCAAGTGAAGTGTGTCATCTCCTAGGACATCTGACTAAACCTGGGAGGGGAGGACAGGAGAGGAAGTGTAGGGAAGAGGGCCTTTTTTCTCTTCAAAAAGGCTAAGAGCCTAAGAAGATTGGATCTAGGAGTTCATTGTCAAAATGTCTCAGGCCAAGTCCTTCAATGGTCTCAGCCCTCTTGCCTCCCAAGCTCACTCTGTGGGGTTCAGTTTGGTGACTTGGAGTTAATGGTGTGTGTGTGTGTAGGTGAGGCAACTAGGAATCTTATTCAGATAAGCCACTCTCCCGTCGTCTGCTGCCTAGGTAGGCCTCCGGGGAGCTGCTGCATTGGCTGCCCTCTGTGTTTCTCACAGAGCGCTCGCAGTCACCCAGGCAGTTATCTATCACCAGAGCGTAAACTGGGTTTCCCAAAGTCTGCTCTAACACGCTAGCAGTCCTAGCCCCCTCCTCCTCCACATGCGTTCACAGCTTCAGACCCTAAACTCAAGATACCCACACCTGGCAGTCTACTCTTTTTCTCTTTGTAATTGCATCTCAGACATACACTCTGGGGAGTTTGGGCATTAAGACCACGTCTTCCTAAACTGACCACGACCGGACCTACTTGGCTTTACCTTCACCCTTCTCCCCTGGCCCGACCACCCCGCAGACACTCCCCGCTCGTCCCATGCCGCCACAGTGCCTCGTCACCACTGGGATGCACTTCAGGAAGCCTCTGCCTGCGGTGAAGGATCGCAACCGCCACATCTCAGTCTGAGCACAATGAGCCGAAGTCTGCAACCCGTGATGGGAACTGCGCTTGCGCGTTGCCCTGGGAACTGCTGAGCTGAATCCCCACAAGTCTTAGGGCTGCAGCACTTCTGTCTTCCAGACTTCACTTCCCAAGGTGGGTTGTATGTGTTGGGAGAGTCGAGCAGAGGGGAAAATCAGTACGCGAAAGCGGTGTGCGCATGCGCAGAAAGCGCCTGTACCTTGAGACTTTCCGTATTGAGACTACATTTCCCAGAGGCCGCGAGGGGACGTCGCGGTTCGTGGCACGTAGTTACCCCTGCGCACTTACTCAATGCTGTTTGCTTGGTACTGTGATTCTGTCTCTGAAAAACTAAACCAAACTTACTGCCCTCGGATCCGACTCATAGCGAACCCTGCTTGGGTTTTCGAGGCGGTATCACTACGGAAGTAGATCGTCCAGTCTTCCTTCCTACTTTGAAATAAAGCCCACGAAAAGCTGACGATGGGATAAAAGTAGGTTCGTTCTGTAGGGCGGTGCCTAATCCATTGAGGAGGACTGATGGGCAAAGGTCTCGGAGCAGAAAGGCGGAAGTGAGAAGCCTAAAAGGCGCATTTTTGACGGATAATCGCGTCCCAAAAGACGTGAAAATGCTACAGTACTGTTCCCTTGTCTCCCAGGAAGCATGAACTACATTCAGTCTGGCGCAGCAGTCCGACCAGTGCTGGTTTGGTCGAAAAGTGCCAATAATAATTTGCGTTTGTGGGAGAGAGGGAAGTGAGCGATTTCAGGATCAGTCAGGAGGCTGCAGCGGCAATTCAGAACAGCTGATGGTGACTCTAACCAGGGTGGTGGCCATGGGAACCCGGAGAAGGAAGGGTGCGAAGTGTTCAGGCGGTAGACATAATTCTTGATGTCTTAACAGGTAGGACAGGAAGGAGTCAGGGCGCCAAGTCGCTGTCTTGCACAGCTGTGTGATGTTTAGAAAAAGTGGGATTTATTTTTGTTGATAGTATTTTGTTAGGACAGGCAAGGATGATTTATAAGAAAATAAAGCTGGAGATACTTTTACTTAGTTGCCTTTGAATATGTATTTCCATGAAGTGCAGGAAGGAAAGATGATTGATAGGAATGAGAAAAATCCAAGAATGAGACTGGAGGCTTGTGAGAGAATTTGTTGCCCACCTTTTAGGAAGCAGTGGCATTTCTTCACGTGACACTACAGCATTCTGTTTTAGGTTTTACTGATTTAATTCTGTAGATGCTCATGGAGCACTTATGTGGCAGGTGCTATTTTAGAAGCCCAAGAACTAACGAAGAAAACCCTGTACTCATGGAGGTTTGACTATCTGTCAAGGTACTAAATAAATCCAACAAAAGATTTATAGCAGGTAGTAATAACTGCTGTAAAAAGTGTAAATCTGTTAGAGGTTAAAGTATGACAGGGGACTGGGGATTATTTTAAATACTGTTCTTGGAAGTTCTTTGAGGAGGTAACATTTGAGCAGAGATTTGAATACACTGAGGGAGGAAACCATGCGAACATCTGGGGTGGAGCCTTCTGAGAGGAGGGAATGGAAAGGTGTCCTGAGAACGAAGTGTGCTTGGTGAGTTTCGTACTGAACAAGATCAGTATGACTGAAGAGGGCGTAGTGAACAAAAGAGGGTGGGAGATGTGGTTGGTGGGGTAACTTGAACCTTTGAAGGCCATGGTAGGAACGTTGATTTATTCCATGTATGATAGGAAACCATTGGGGAGGTTTAAGCAAGGGAGTGACCTGGGCGAGTACATTTTGTCAGAATTGCTTGTCAGCTGTGGAGTGAACAGATTATGTTGAGGCTAGAGGGAATGCAGGGAAATCAGCCCAGAGGCTCTTACAGCAATGCAGGTGAGGGACCAAACCAACCCCAAATCCAAACCCACTGCCATCAAGACGCTTATGACTCATGGTGACCTATAGGACAGTAGAACTGCCCATAGGTTTTCTAAGCTGTAATCATTAATGAAGCAGACTGCCTGATTTTTCTCTTGGTGATGAGTTTGAACCGCCAACCTTTTGGTTAGTATCCGAATGCATTAACCAATGTGTCACCAGAACTCCTCAGATGAGGAACAGTCTTCCACAATTATATAACCTTTTTACAACACATCTGCTTTGAGAGCCCAGTGATTCTAAGACAATTGAGGGTCCTGGATTCCATGTTAAGGAGTTTGGATATTCTGTTGTCAGGTATATGAGAATAATGTCAGAAGTTAGTAGTAGATATCTTGCTTTGATTTTGGCAAACCAAATAGTGACTTTAAAGAAATTCCTGACAGAAATTAATTCTCCAGCAGCCTTTTTTGCACTCAAAGTTGCAAACCCTTTCTTTTCTGTTTGAGGCCAAGCTTACTAAATTTGCATTTCAAAAGAAAAAGCTGAGTGAAGGGGCAGCAGAGACCTTTTTGTGTCCTGATATTTTAATCTCAGTAAAAGGGAGAGGACAGGGTAAAAATTAGCCAATGATTGACTTTCTATATTTCTCCCTCCTCTTTCTTTAAAGCCTCATTATACCTAGCTAGGAGCTCTGGTAGCGTAGTGCCTAAGGCACTTGACTGCCAGCCAGAAGGCTGGCAGTTCAAACCCACCAGCCACTCCTCAGAAGGAAGGTTGGGTGATCTACTTCCATAATGATACTGCCTCAGAAACCCAAGGAGGGGTCACTATGAGTTGAACTGGCAGTGAGTTTGGTTTTTATGTGCAATTCTTTACATTATTATCTAATACAATTCAAAGCTGTGAGATTTGCATTATTCACAGTCAAGTAAGCAGACAGTGATATGTAAAGTAACTTGCCTCAGGTCTCACATCTAGTAATTGGAATTAGGAATCTCGCTTTGCCAATAAAAAAAGGTAGAGAAGTTGTCCTCATTACTTGTTGCACCAGATAGTTGAGAACTGACATACTGGGGCCTAAGGCTTTCAAAACTCCAAAAATGAAACCACCATTCATCTGATCCATTTCTCTTGGTGCTGCTGTGAGTCTGTTAAGGAAAACATACCCCTATACTGGCAATTTTATTGAGAAAGATACAAACCGAAGAGATGAAGGGAAACTCTAATGCAGAGTTCAGCACAGTATAGCCAGGACTCAAAACACTTTGTCTGAGCATCCACTGGGGCAACACTCCTTTCTTTCAAGGACTCTCACTAGGCTCCAGTCTCCTGAGATAAAAACCAAATGTACCCTCTGCCATCAAATCGATTCCAAATCATAGCAACCCTATATGACACCGTAGAACTGCCCCATAGGGTTTCGAGGGTTGTAAATCTTTAGTAGCAGACAGCCACATCTTTCTTCCATGGTGCACCTAGTGGCTTCAAAGTGCCCACCTTTCAGTTAGCAGGCAGGAACTTTACTATGCTACTAGAGCTCCTCACGGAAAGGTGGTTCAAATGTCTTCAGAACTCTTTTCCCTGTTTGCTCTATTATGGGTATGATAATGAACACTTAGGAGCTCTGGTAGCATAGTGGCTAAGACACTTGCCTGCTAACCAGACGGCTGGCGGTTCAAACCCACCAGCCACTCCT